TAAAGGCTCCAGCACTTCGACTGAGCAACAACGGCAACGTTCCTTATCAGCCCCTATCAGCTGTTATCAAAACACGCCACCTGCCGTCGCCGTGATCACTTTTCCCACCATCTGCTGAAATCAACGCCTAGATGACACTGTGTCCCGCGTTATGAGCATAGTGACCCTCCCATTCTAACACCCCTTATCGACTTTTATCAGCTGATAACACTCCCTGTCACCCAGCAATAATGTTTCCGTCACAGCCCCTATATCAGTGCTTAGAAATAACTTCGTACAGCAACTGGGACGGTTGCTATGAATTTCGTGGCGGACATACAGACAGACAACACACACACAGACATACTTAGCGGATTATATAGTAGGACAGTGGGGAGAGTTCATTTTCTAGTGCTATCAGAGAGGTGATGGCTAAAGGAAAACTTTACACATAGAGTCTTTAGTACTTGCCAGTATAGTGGTAAGAGATGTAGTGGGAGTGGCTCCTTCTGTTTTCTTATCAGTTGATAAGATTGCCTGTCACCCGTCATCAATGTCCCTATCAAAAACTCTATAATTTGTTAGCGTAAAGGATCCAGCACTTTGACTGAGCAACAACGGCAACGTTCCTTACCAGCCCCTAAGCTGTTATCAGAACCTGTCACCTGCGGTCGCCGCGCCCGCCTCTCCCTATATATCATTTGCTGAAATCAACGCCTAGATGACGCTGTGTCCCGCATTATAAGCATGGTGACCTTCCCACTCTAACACCCCTTATCAAATCTTATCAGCTGGTATCACTCCATGTCACCCACCAGTTCCTGTCTTCTCGGTGACCTTCCCATTCTAACACCCCTTATCGAATCTTATCAATTGGCACCACTCCATTTCACCCACCAACAACGTTCCTGTCTCACACCCTATATCACAACTTGGAGCTAACGTCCCACTGTTACTGTGTCCCGCACTATAGGCTCGGTGAACCTCACCTTCTGACGCCTCTTATCAGATCTTGTCAACTGATATAACTCCCTGTCACCTACCAACGATGTTTCCGTCTTAACTCCCATATCAGTGCTTAGAATCAACTTCCTACAGCAACTGGGACGGTCGCTATGAATTTCGTGACATATAGACAGACAGACAGACACACAGACACATAGACATGGACATGCTGAGCGGATTATATATAGCAGGATCATACTGCAGCGACGGCAGAGCGATTGCAAAAAAAAAGATCTTTTTTGTGTTCTCATGCAAAATGTTACATTGGACAAGCGGAACTCTATGGATATTTGACACATTTTTACAAGTCGAGTTCTTTGAAGATCCACAGGTGGCATCACCATTTAGCATTTATTCGAAGTATGACAGTGTGGACTGACATTGCTCTCTTGCGGTAATTCTGATTCTTGCTGTCAAAATGATATTCTGACATTTTGCAATGGCTGCTTTTCGATAAATAGTAGGGGTATACTATATCTGACAGAAGAGAAATGAAGGACGTCACATTGGGGAGAAGCCCTTTGTAGAGTTCTCCAGAAATTCAGCTCCTCAAAGCGTGTACTGTGGTGTACATTATACATTATATTGAAGGGCCGTACTGACCTATTGAGCTCCTCTTGTCAGGGGAGGTCAAAGTGGAGAATTGGGTTGCGGAAGAAAAGACATCTGTCATATTCTTTGACGCCCCCCTTCCTTGGCTAAAGAAATTTCTTGAACTCGGACGACTGCAGTCTAGAAGTCATCAACCAACTTCGAATACCAAATTACCCAGTTCTAGCCTGCCGATTTGCTGGCTGATTTCCTACTGCTTTCCACTGCATGCTGAATATAATCAGGAGAAAATTTTTCGGCCTATGGGATACATCACGCACTCGATTTTAAATCAGTTTCGTGTTGATACTCATCAGGCCATGGGGAGTCGGTTTCTCGACAACACACACAAATACGCGCAGCACGTGGTCTCCTCTGGAGACCATGTCTGAATTTCGCAGGGAAAACTCAGATCCAAATGGGAATCAACATATTGAGGATGTCGCAGCAGCTAGCACAATGGGCACAGAGGCGGGACTGGAACGGCTCTCCAAAAGTGAGCTAGCGTGTTGTAGGAAGAAAACCGAGTTTTGATGTCAAAAGTCAGACGAGCGGCTATATTCGCTTGCTGAGCCGAACTGACCATGCCTATTTTGTATGCGTGCCAGATACGAATCCACAACTCACATAACGAGTATAGCTGAAGGCCTGAGGGAAGACTGCCTCAGGCCTTCAGCTACTGGGAAGCAAAGTTGCATAACTGCACAACAAGATGACTAAAATACAGCTATCGAGATTTGTTTTGTCAAGCAAGATGAATTGCCGCACTGAAAATTGTAGAGATAGTAGCGAACTGCCTCTGACGAAGCTAAGATTTTGCCGTTTAACAAGCCCGTCACGGTTAAGGAAGGTGTAAAGTGGCAAAATCGTGGGGGGTCTGGGAACAAGATCTACTTCAACTGACTCGAGTGAGTAACGTCGTTCATGTGCAATGACTGGGGGTTACTGCACATAGACGAAAGCAAAAGTTTCATATTTGAAACTCAGATATGAAATTCTTGCTCTATACCAAGCGTCTGTAATATAATAAAACTTGAGATACTCCTGATAACTTGAGATAACTTGAGATATAGATAAATTGAAGCAAACATCCTATAGTCTCGCAGGTATTCTAGCAAAGGAAACTCCGTTTAGAAGATATTATTTGACATACTAATGCGGAATGCACTACCTCTAGCCAGGATGTAACTCGAGTAAAAGAAAAAGGTGGAGAACATCGTACTGCATATCATTGCAGCACAACGCGAACCAGGCAGCACGCGGACACCTGCAAGATTGTTGAGTGATGTCACACCAAACAAAGTTGGCAGTTTTCACACAGCAGCACGCAGCGACAATTTTTCGGCGGGAATTCGGACGGATTACATAAGCTGATTTTCATACAAAGCCCACGACCTCTAAACTGATCTCTCGGACAGGCATACCCTCCTACCGCTTGTGACAGGTGGAGAGTCGTTCTTTCATTCCTTATATCGAGAAACTTGGGCTGTCGTAGGCTCGCCATTTGTATAACTGAAATCCAGCCACGCGGTTAACTTGAACTTGGATGTTAACACTAAACGTGAGGCGACTGATCGGTGGACATGAGTTGGTACAAGAAGAGAACCGAGAGACTTCAACCGTTTATGCCAGCTAATATGTTCTCGGTGGAGCAAGTGAGAGCAAAGTGCAATACTGCGTCCGCGTTCTCCTTTTATAGGCCATCCCGCCAGGTCGATGTGTGGGTCGTTTTGAATGACGTGGCGCGATCAAACTGCCACAGCTGGCTCAAACTAAAAAAAATTCGAGCTAACTTCATATTATTATGTAAACGTACAGTACACGACACAAAAAATACAAATATAACACGATATAACCTGACAACTTGAGAATTCAAAAACTAAAGTCGCTTTGCGACACTCCTCCCTTCAATGAAGTAGGCTCCATGTGCAGCTTCGCGAGTCTCTCTCTCTGATCAAGTATGCAAGATTGCAACTCTGCTTTCGCGTCGGGTGCTGGGCAATTCGCTCGATGATGACGGCGTGCCGAGATAATTCCTTCAAATGGTGATCCTTTCAAATGACAGCAATACCAGCAGTCCTCGGCTGACGTGCAGCATCCTGTAGGGCAAAACATGAGGCACTGTAAGCACCTCCCGCAGCTACGGGTACTTCAGCATCGCTTCATCTATTCCTTCGATATGTTTCTGGAGCTCTTCTTTTCCGATCGTTCCTCCTTGAGGGATGATCGTATTCAGTCTGGCCGTCTTATCTTCCGCGCCACTTGGTCCAGGAGCCGATTCGCGTCCGCTGATCGTTCTTTTTCACTCGCTTCTTGAACGAGGCACTCGAAGTAGTGATCGTCGGTCTCTTCTGCAACGTCTGACCCCTTCCGGCAAGTTACCTTTCTATCGACAGCCTCCTCCATTTGGGCAGATAACATGTGTGCACGATCTGCTGCTCGTTGAGGTGAATATTTGGCTTAGTGGCCATTTCCAGAGTGGCAATCCTTTCATTAAGAGCATGTATCGGTCCTGCTGTTGTGATACGACGTCAGGTTCTGACTGGCTTGAGATGCAGTTTGTCTTGCATGCCCCTACATGCTCTTGGTGAGTAGTTCCGCTGCCTCCAGCTCTCGTCGATTTGATCTAAGCTCGCGGTCAGCAGCTGCCATGTATTCGGTTATTTCCTTTGTAGTTGCTTCCAGACGGCGCACATGCTTCTCAATGAATTCCATGACGTCTTTAATCTGGACGTGAACGTCTTCTTTCTGCAGCCTTTCCTTCCGACTCTTCACCAATTCTTCGTTCGACTTTGCGTGACTTTCGCACATCCGGCCGGTCAAGACAAAACGCGTCCCGAAGCGAAGCAGTCTTCCCTTGGTGAGGCATTGAGCAGAAACTGCTTCAGGTGCTAAACTCTTTCTGCTATCACCATCTCGGGAAGAGTTGCGCTAACCAATCGCTACGAACCGATGTGGTTACAAACACTTGATTATGGATCTCATTAAGGGTCGACATCAGATCAAGTTCCAATCGCTGAGCTGTCGGCGATCATCATTCGCTAGAGATACTTCGGATCGCCTTCTTGATCGCGTGGCTCCAGCCTGGAATTGAAGGCACTTGACGATGTGTACTTAACAGCACTATTTTGCGCTTAGATAATTCACTGAACTTGAAATCTTGGAAAACACTTTCTTGTCTAAATTTTCTCAAATGTGGTTACGGGTAACGCTCCGCTAATTTCAATGCTTTTTTGCTGCGGCATAACCAAGACTACTAGTGAATAGGCAGAATATAAGACCAATCGTTGCAACAAAATTCAAAGTTATTGAAGTTGCAGCAAGTGAACCCCGCTGTTGAAGGCTGTAAGCGTACTTGAATGTGTTGACGTGCTTATGTTCACACCGCTATCTTCGTCCGTTGTTCCTCGAGAGCTCTAGTGGGATCAGCAGATTAACAGGACGTCGGATAAGCCGCCGAGATGGCAGCTAAACGATTGCTTCTGTACGATTCCTTGAGCACTGGGACATAGGTCCTCGATTGGACCCACTCTCCATGAATGACGCGGATGTGTTTCCTCATATATCATAATTAGGTAACCTTCATGAGGGGTATTTGCGCTTCCCTTTTTTGCTTTCCCTTTTACTTGATGACGTTCGTGAAGCGATGTCAACTATTGTGTCTGCCATATTTTCAAAGCGCGTTCAGTCAAATTCACTGAACTTTGCAGAGCTCTAATTGTCTGTTGCTCTGTTCTGAGAGATGGAATTTCGTTCGGTGGCGTGTAGGAGGGGTCTCCGCCGTAAAGTCAGTAGGTCATAAGATGCTATCCGGATCCATGCGGGAATCGGAGCGTCACAGTGGCCGGGTAAATCGCTTTATCGAAAGTGGATTCTACTGAACTGATGAGTCTTTCATACCTCCGCCCTGCCAGGGTGCTTCAGGAGTTATATGCTTCCACTTCATGTACTTGTTGTTAAGTTCTCGTGCCGTGGCCGGGTCAACTTTAAATGGTTCTCTGCGTTTCCTGAGAATTTCCTAACCGAGAAGATGAGCATCGTCGGATATTATCGAAGTCGAACCACCCCCCCCCCCTTCTTCCAGAGAACATCAATCATATCAATCATCGTCTTAACATGTGCAGGAAGGATACTGTTGAAGAGTCTGACACGATGTCTAAATGGATCTAACGGGTGACCATGCAGGTCATTGTGCAACCAAAGCATTTTTTCCGTTCTCCGGCCGTACTGCTGATAAAAAGCGGTCCAAAGTAGTCGAACCCAACATGTTCGAATGGTCTACTCTGCAAAACACTTTCTGCCGGGAGATTGCTTCGCTTTGGATACTTGGATAGCAAACTGCTTGGACGTGGCACTTAAAACGAACTCTCACTTGTTTGCTAACTTGAGAATATAATAGTGCAGAACGTTTGACGAATCAGAGGCATGGTGTAGTTGACTTCTGGATGAGCCTTGGTGACGATCGTTTATTATGAATTTTGCGAGGAATAATTTTTGCAGTACGAGAATCGGATATTTAGCCAAGAGTTCCAACGAACTTGTGCCCGGTCTACCACAGCATCGTCAAATTCCTTCTTTGTCTTTTCTTCCTCTCAAGTGAGCGGAGTTTTTTTTTGATAATTTCTGTCGTGATTTCCGTCCGTTGATGTTGTTGAGCTATCGCCTTTCCAGCTCCCTTTGCTTCTTCACGTGTGAGCGCCATTGAAGATGTTCCCAACGGTGCTGTTTATCAAGGCGGACCTGTCACCTGATCATATTGTCTACACCGTCTGTGACGAGTAGTCGCTCTGATAAATCGAAAGGCGTAGGCAAAGATGCGTTTTGGGTTAGTGTCGTTGCTTGTTTAGGAGTCACCAGATAAGTGTTGGCTTTGCAGTCGCCCGATTTCGTCCCTGCTGCGAACGAAAGAACGTTGTGCTGTCCGCTTACCCTTCAAAACTTGATCGGAAAATCGTTCAATTTTTTCTCCAATTTTCTTCCGTTTGCTTCAAAAACAAAGGCCCTTGACACTAAAGGTGGTTTACGAACTCGACTTTTTTCAACCCTCTCGGGCAGCAACCAGCTGGATTCTCCATTGAATTCATGTGGCCAAATTATACGTCATACCCAAGCGATTGCATGTGCTGTACAACCTTGTGAATTTCTTTGAGCCTATTTGCAATCATGATACTTTTCTCCGTGTGATTCTTAATCCAGTTCAGTACGATTTCCGAATCGGAGAAAATGTAGATCCACATGATTTGAATAACTGATCGGATCCCTGGTTATCGTTTCCGTCAGTCACTAGCCAACGTAATCGCGTTCAATTCCATCTTCGGAAGTGTCATCCTGACCTTCAACGAGGGGAGCCGTTCACGTGCCATTAGAAAGTAACTCGATGGTGGATCGCACAAGTAAACGCAAGCTGCCATTGATTTTGAGCTGGCATCCGCGAAGTTCGCGATAATAGGATTACTTGATTTGATTGCAACAGCTCGAGTGATGGCTCTCCCGAATCCTGAGATACCTTTGGTAATCTTGAACCACTGCTGTGCATGACTGTCCGAAAGGGTGCTGTCCCATCCGTAGCCCTCTTTTCATAAGTTGGCTCTGTGGGTCAGCGGAATGAGCCACCCAAGGGGATCATATATTGATGCTACTGTCCGAGCCCTGTGCGCTTGGAAAAGGCACTTAACTTGGAAGAAATCCTTCAATGAGTTCCATCGTATTCCAAGTACTTTCGGGTGGAGGTTGGCTGACCGGCCCTTGTTGCCTATGACTTGCATGAGATATCCATTACTAGATATGAATTCTCTGAGGTTTATACTCAAATCATTGAATATTTTCTTGCACTCGATGTACTTGAGACGAGTTTAATATGACTTTCTGCTGCCAGCAAAGGTTTTCGACATAGAGATTGCTCTTGATTTCATGAAACAGATGGCGTTCTCTTGAGTAAGTGTTCAAATGGTAATAAGTGGTAGCTGCCAAAAGGAATGGAGATGCACTTAGCCCAAATGCTACTTTCGTGAATCTAAGATTCCTGATATTAGCGGGCTCTGGTTGTCGTCGAAAATCCCACAGCCATAAGCATCTCGTGCAATCTCGCTCACCGTTCCAGTCTTACTTGCTTGAACGCCCTCTCAACGTCTGCTACTCGCGCCTGAATTATTATCCTGAACCTGTGAGGGGTTGGGATGGAAAGATCACAGAACCTCTGTGAAGTACACGTTTAAGGAGGGACATCCCCTGTAATGAGCCGATGCGTCGAAGACTATTCGCAGCTCTGTGGTTGACTTGTTTGGTGTCTTTACCACTTTGTGTGGAAGGTAGTGTATTTTGGTGTTCAATATGCGATTGTCTTTCAGTACATCTTCAAGAATTCTCGAATGTATTTGCTCCTGAAAGACTGCATCATAACGCCTAAGAAGTTCTGATCCTTCTGCAGTGTATCATATATGCTATGAAGACGACGTAGAGCAATAGCGTGGTTGTCCGGTAGTTTCGAATGATCGTCTTTCCATGGAAGCTTCACGTAGTAACAGTCTTCCCTGCTTCTATTGTACGGTTAAAGTGTCCTAGACTTCCTTATCCAGACGAGATTCCTCTTCTTCCTCTGGATTTCCAAACTCGTGGATGCCTGCTGATTCTAGCTGCCAATATTTTTCCCACTTGTTCTCGTCATACTCTTCGTCTGAAGGCTCGTTATCCTTTTGGACCATATTTACTTGAGGTTCCGAGACCATTACTTGTCACATTGAATGGTTTCTTCAGATTCGTTGTTGGAACGTACGAAGAGCACATGCTGTAGTGACTTCACTGTCCAGCAAGAATATTGTCCGCTGTGGTTGGCAAAACGTGAAGGCCTGATGGGAGTTGAACTTGCGAACAGTTCTTTCGTAAAAACTGCCATGCTTGATCAGATCCGAGCAAGATACTGGGCTTCACTTGCCGTCTTTGTGATGGCAGCTGCATGTTTAATGATTGGACATTGCCCTCTTTTGAAAGAGGTAGACCCGCAAAGGCTTTGCGAAGATATTATTTGTTAACAGATCCAGCGTGTGGAGTTGTCCACCATCATCACATACTGGTAGCTGAACTTGCGTGACTGCGTCTTTTGCGCTTATTTTGAGCCAAATTTGTGGTAGCACAACTGTTTCTCTTTAGCTGCCGCAAGGCTTGAGTCTTGAGCCAGAGCAGTTTCGATGAATGACATTTCAGCTCCTGCGTCTATTAGTACTTGAACGCTTCCGAGGTTCATTAACTGTGGATCGACTACTGACACATCGCCGATAGGTAAAAATGTCTTCTGAGGACGTCCCATCACTTGAGCGTTGTATACCCAGGACGGTCCAGTAGTGCGACCATCTCGTGCTGCGGCTTCATCGTTCTCGGAACTTAACTTGTCATTCGCCAACAGATTGTCTTTAGTCATGGTCTCGACCTGCTTCTTCTCAGTCCCTAAGTCAAAACGTGAGGCTTCCTGAGAGTTCACTCTAGAGAAGTGCATCGAGCATGCTGTCGAATAGCGCGTAGACTTGAAACAACAGCATGTGTGGTGCGGACCTTGGCACCGGAAACAAGGCTGCCTGCTGCAGTTTGTTGTTGCATGGTGCGCTGATGTGCATAGCTGGCACAAGTTTTCTTTCTCGCAGGTAATGTGCTCGTTCTTGCGGAGTTTTAAATTCCCCGCACTCAGCTGTTCTGTGGTCTCCTTTGCAATAGCATTTTGCGAGCCATACCGCTTTCTAAGGATGTGTCCCGGGTGATAGCGTCTCCCGTAGTTCTCGTGTCCATCTCTTCCGCAAAAAGCACTTCTTCCATAAGATCGAAAAGACCTTGCATGGAAATCGGTTGGAGATTTGAAGGGGTCCAACGCTTCTTTGCAAGGACTTCCCTTTAAAATCTCTCGGGGAATTTCGATAATATCTTCTTCATCATTCATTGACAGTCGGCTTGTTTGCTTTTTGTCTCATTTGTTGAATGATTACTTGAATGTGTTCGAAAAGTGTACGCTGATCCTTAAGGGAGTGACTCCGTAGATGGAAGTTTTTCAGTCTGTTGATCAGGTTCTGAATGAGTTTTTCTCTGAACCGCACCTGTTGTGGAGGAAGGTGATGGCTCTGGAGTAATTGTCCGCCGTTACTTGAAACTTGCGAACAGACTCTTTGGCTTCTCCGAGAAGCGCATTCCAAAGATAGGTGAACTTGGAGAGCTTTGGGAGTTCCTGTGAATGCACGTTTGCATCGAACAATCCCCTTGGATTTTGATATGGGCGAGCAAGGTAGTTTAACTGGTCGGAGTCTATGAACTTGAGCAACTTGAGCAGGTCTTTCTGAGAAGGATTGATGTACATCTACTTGAGGGCGGACCATACTCTCGCGTGACTTGAGTGCTCTGATTCTGGCTTGCAAGCATCATGAAATTCACTGCCGTCGCTGAACATTCTTCTGCGCGGATAAAGTACTTGTCGGCTTTGTCTTGCTCCGTTGCAGGTGAAAAATCCAGCAGTGTTAGGAATTTCGTCAAAGTGGCCTCCAGTTGGGCCATCAGCAGTTCGACGGCTCCACTGATTCTTCCAATTTCCTCAACTTGTCTTGGTTGACGGCTTGTGAATCTACACCGTACCCAGCGTGTAGTGACTCCAGTCCTTCTTCTTTGGATCGATATTGGTTCTACAGCCAACTTGTTGCCGTAGAGGGTGAGCAGTCATTTCGCTGTGCTTGATTGCGCTCATCATTGATTTTTTCACTTTAGATCACCTGAATGTGAAATCACTTAAATGGTACTTTTTCTAACTTGAAAGGAAAGCACATGCGGAAAAATCAATCACGCGCAGGAGTTTTGGAATTATTGATCATTGAATGCCACCTGGTCGATTGTTTCAACTTGATTCCTGTTTTTCAAAAAGAAAAACAGACAATGTCGACTTGAAAAATTTTAACTTGGTGAATGCAAACTGAGTGCAAAAATTCATTACTTGAAATGTTGAATAGCATAAAACTATTAAAATTGCTGACCTGAGTTCGTCCAGTTGCCGATGCACCATACCGGGCAGTTTGGGTTATCGTAGGCTCGCCGTTTGGATAAAACCCAGTCACGCGGTCAACTTGAATTTGAATCTTGACATCAAACTAGAGGCGATTGATCGGTGGACTTGAGTTGGTACAAGAAGAGAACCGAGAGGCTTGAACCGTTTATGCCAGCTAATCGATGAGTAATGAGATGTGCTCGGTGGAGCAAGTGAGAGCAAAGTGCGGAACCGCGTCCGCGTTGTCATGTTAGGCCATGTACAAATATAGCGCAATATGACCTGACAACTTGCGAGTTCAAAGGTCAAAGTCGCTTTCACGACACCTCCCTTCCTAACTCCGACACGCCATTTCGTCGGTGATGAATCGCACGGCAAGCGGCCTCGGCAGAAACAGACACAGTCATAATAAGAATCTTCCGCTAGTTCGCTTCAAAACTCTGGCTTGACTCTTTACGCGCTTGTGGGGATGCAAGGTACCCATTCCGTGGGAAACCAGCAGGACTATGCTGTAGAAGAAGGGAGACCTGCACGACAGTGGCAATCTGTCTGCCGTCCGCAATCGACAGAATCTTCACACATGTGATCCCAAGCAGAACTGGCAGAACACTAGATGAAATACAGTTATACGAGGAAGCTGCGTTTGGAAGTTGGGTTTCAGCACGATTCCATCATTGCATCCACACGGTAACGAATCCTATCGATGTATCGCGAAAGTTCAAGATAATGTTGTGTCTCACGTTAATCGACTCCGAGAAGGCCTTCGACTCCGTTGAGACAAAAGCGATTATCGAACCGTAGACAAATAAGGTTCTCTCACCCAGTACATCAGGTTTCTTAATGAGCTCTACAGCAAGTGCACTCCCAGGATCACACGGTTCTACTGGAGAATCACTATCGACGTGATGAGAGGGGTTCATAGAGCGGGATCATCTTGCTCAAATACTTCAGCGGTACTCCCGGTGACGTCGTGCATCACTGGATTGGAGGACATGGCAGAGAAGAGAACGCTCGAGAACTACACCATCTCCCCTTCGTTAACGACATCGTTATGACAACTTTCAGCGGCAAGCGAATGCTGGCTGGTTCGAACGCGTGTGTGAAAAAAGTCGGTCTGCAGATGACTCTGACGAAGACGATGTTCTTGCAGATGACTCTGACGAAGACGATGTTCATGAAGAAAAGACTGGTTTCTGCCGCAGCATTCTCTCTAGAGCCTTTGCATGCCTAGCTGTGTGTACCTTTCGTGAAATCAATATCATGAAAGAATTTCCATCAGAGCGGAGCATGAGAGACCGAGCGGCTCGGGTAGCATTCAAGAAAAGTGAGGGGTAGCGGAAGAGATAGACAACATCGTCTTCGTTCTCTTCGTTTCCACCTCTGCGATTCCGTGGTCCTGCCTGCCCTAGCTTACGCTATGGAGACTTGGACTCTACGAAAGCAGGATGAACATGCTGTTAGCGTATGCTGCGTGCCATCCAAAGAGCGATACTTGGCTTTACTTGGGGAAGGATGCACTTCTCCAACGATTGATAATTAGGGACACAGTCACATTTGCCAAGAATTCCAAGATCACATGAGCCAGGCACATCATGCGCTCTGAAGGTGACCGTGGGAACAGATAGATTACCGACTAATTGCCACAGGATGACAAACGAACACCTGGGCGACCGCTAATCTGATAATCAGAGTTTGTCGTGAAAGCTTTGAACGAACGGCATGACGTTTATCGTGTTTCTGGTGCACAGAGAACCCATTCGGCATTTCTAGCACGCCGCAGGAGCGATTAAGGACGTTATCAACGCCCTCTCGAGTAATTCGATGATCAACGGGAGCACAGTAATACAGGTGATGACCACAATTTCTGAACGCGGGCGTGCTTCCGATCGACAAGGTGTACACGGTCGAGACGTCAGTCGTCAGTCGACAAGGCGTACAGGGTCGAGACGCAAGGCACGAAAGAATACTGCGCCTCTCAGCAGCGCTGCGCGACGTTTTTTCAATCGAGGGTACTCTTATAGCGCCTAGCCAAGGTGCAACGTGCGGACTCAGACGCCCACCGCAACTGCTCGCTCACAAACAATTCACTGACGCTGATACTCCCACCGCATCATTTATGAAGTGCAATTGACATGAAGCGTAGCTACATGCCTCTAAATACACATACGTGCAGCCGTACCCTTCAAAGTGTTCGATAGCACGATGCCAACGGGAGACTCGTCTAGAAATGCTTTCTGTATACTCGTCCAATGTCGCGAAAATAAAGGGTTTTCGCAGGCTTCTGGCCGTTTCACTTCGCTTTGCCGTCGTTCTCCCCACTATATAGCCACTGCTACTATTTTAGAGCAAGTACCAAATTATCGTGCCTATGCCTTTAATACTGATCCTGCCTATTACTAAAACTAATAGGAACTTACCAGGAAAGGTCAACAGATTGATATGGTCATTTTCGACGTGGTGTGCAGAGATGTGATGCCCTTGGAATGTTAAGTTCTAATCGACCTTCGAAATATGCGAAACGAGCTGGGCGGACTCTTTGAAAGTTTTTCTCCCCGTGTAGTTACATGCCACTGCGTATAAGTGTCCTCAGATACGGACCGGCGAGCTAGGATTGTAGAAGCAGGGTAGCTAGTGGCACTCTCGGCATAACTTCGCGGGATCGATTCTTCTGTATGTCTGTTTTTTTGCATTTGCCAGGAGCACGATCAACAGGGTTTAGTGCTACGAGCTGTTCCATACAAAGCCTGGATGCCTCGTGGCCTAATAAAAAGTTGGGCGCGCCGGCACTCGTTGCGCACGCTGCACTTTCGGCCTGAATGGATTCGATATTCGTGTTTACTATTAGGTTGGTGCATAAGTTCCCCCCCCCCTGTTTTGATCCTTCCATATTTCGTCTGCATGGATGCTGGTATTTCGTCATCACGTGTGCGTGACGTGTACACGATACTCTTTCATCACACTAGCTATCACTCGCCCACCCTGCATTTGCAGGCTATAGTGCCGCACAATTACCAGTGCAAAACCATGTCACAGTGGTGATTGTGCGGCATTGTGGCGGGTCCCAGCCCCCGTCCTTCTGGAACGATGGAACCGACAAAGTGCCTGAGCCTTGGCATCGAGTAGTGGATGGTGATGGTGCATACCCCTTTTTCAGGCTGGTTCGCTATTGATACGTGGCATATTAGAATGTTCTACAAGCGTGGCATATTACGTCATGCTCAAGCATCGAGAATCAAAAATTGGAAGCTTTCAAAGGAAACACTGACAGGACTTTCTTTCCAACCTATATCTTGAAAGCTTCATCTGGAAGTAGTTTGACATCTGAACATGAATACGACCTTCGCTTGGCGTGAAAATGCATGGGACTCATTTAGCGTGAAAACGTCTGGGGCGCGCTACCGAAACTTGCATAACCCTCATCATAGTATGAGAATACACGATAATATTTTTCAATTTTATCTCTCCGTGGAAGGCTACTGGTAGCAGCAGAGAGTTTAGCGATTTGGGCGGGGAAAGCTGTGGGAAGCGATCCGTTTCGGCGACACTGCACCATGAGTAAAAACGCTTGTAGAAACCCTCCTAACTCCATACAAAGAATTTTTCATGACTTCGAACGCAGATTCTAGCTCACCACCTTGTGGCGCGTACAATGACGTAAATCTGATTGCGAATGGATCTAGTAATTTATTGACTTTCCGTGATTGGCTACTTTCTTATTGTTAATCAGTGAGAGCTGAACGGTACCTGGAAATAATGAAATGTGATGTTGAACTCCAGAGAAGGAAATTGCTCTATCCCAATGGGCATCTTGATGCAATGGAGGAGGCGGTTTGGCAAATCTGAATTGTGAAGTTTTGTAGAGTGAAGATACTGATGAGGCTTCCATTGTCACCTTCCGCTGGGTAGTGGCTGATTGAAATTGTGAGAAGAGTGCAGTGGATTTGTGAGTGGAGATGGAGCAAAGCCTGCGTATTGAACTGTGAATGGCGCGAGACGCTGTGTTCCGACTGGAGCAGGAATGTTGATCAAATCCTGTGGAGGTATATGAAGAGGGGAAACCAAGGCACTCGAGATAGTGCCTGCGTGTGGTGGATGTATGTGTGTACCGTTCGGTGGTGTATTTCGTACGCTTGCATCATAACCATGAGAAGTCGCCTGAGGATGGTTCTGAAAATAATCCTACTATATATTAGGTTGTCCGGAAAGTTCTCAGCGTTGTTACTATTTTTTCGTACATTCATTGCTGATTGAAAACTCACTCTCCCTTGCGCTTCAGTACTACATCCTGAAGAGATGATGGTATCATTGCCGTTTCACCATTGCTT